GGGGGGGGGGGGGGGGGGGGAATTAATTCTAAACTACAGCTGGAATTGGGGTGGGTGTGCTTGAGAAAAGCATAATTATGCTTTATACGGTCTTGTTTGGTAACGTTTATGGTTTTCGTTTTTCATTTTTATTTTCATATTTGAAGAAAATCAGGAAAAAAAATTCGTTTGATAGCTGTTTTTGTTTTTTTTTTTACTGTCATTGTTTTCAAAACGGTGGACAATTTTTAAAAACAGAAAAAAGTCATTTTTGAAAAAGTAAAACTCAAAAACGTTTAACATGCGTTGAACGTTAATGAGGTCTAGAGATCAAACTTTGTTAGGATAAAAAAACACACTTATTAGCCACCCATATAAATAGCAATTCATCAAGGGTAAACCCTAGCCCCTCTGACCTCACCAAGCATTTGTTCACCGCGAGAACCCCTCCCCCTCTCTCTCTTTCAGCCCAAATGGTGACGGTGAACGGTGAAGGTGTTCTAATCTTTGTCTTCGATGGTGAAGGGCTCTCCATCAAGGTAAATAATCTTCGTCTTCTATCTGTGTTTTTTGCTTTTGTGATGTTCTGTACATTTTTTTTTTGGGGGGGCTCTCAAGTAGAACACCATGTTGGGCATCAGTCCATAACTTGCCTTCTCAAATTACTTGTTCACTATACAAAACCCATATCAAAATCAAGAACAAACAAGTCAGAAATTTACACAAAAATATGAGATTCAACGCAAAACCCAGATGAAAATCAAGAATTGTTTGTCAACGCAAAAACCTAGATGAAGAGTTATCGAGCAACTGTTTTTCTTCTATGTTCATATCCATCTTCTTTTCTTCCCCTCCTTCCATTTGTGTGTGTGCGTGAGTGTGTGTGTGTGCCTTCATATTATAGAAGGAGCAAAAATGAGAATGAATGCAATGAGTTGTTGCTGATTTTTTTTGCTGATTATAGTTGCTGATTTTTTTTGCTCTGTATATCTACTGAGTAGTTGATTTTTTTGGGCACGAAAAGTGTATGTTAGATCCATGATTTCCATAGTTTGAATTGGAAAATTATTATGGTTGTTTGTGGATGTAGATGGCCAATGTGAATGCTAGTCAGAACCTAGATAATACTGATGTAATGGAAATTGAACTAACCAAAGTTGATCAATTGTGGCCTACTAAGAATGAGACAATTTTTATTGAGTTAATGGATGAGCAAGTTGCTTTGAAAAATTGGTCAACTACTGCTTTCACTCGAGAGTCATGGAACTACATGTTTTAAGACATGAAACGAAGGACTGGCTATGCATATACCCATGTTGTTGGTGGTGCTAACTTTAGTGTGGTGTTATTAGTATTAATATAACTATGAAGTATGAGATAATTATGTGGAATGTTTGAAAATCAAGGGATATATTTGTAGTATGTTTGAAAACTATTGGATGATCAGTTATAGATTGTTGTTCTAACTTTTTAATAGCATGGAATTGTGGTAATGTATACAAGCTAGTCACATAAAAAAAAATAGAAGTGTTACAACCAAATAAGTTTTCTATTTTTGTTTTCAAATTTTTTTACAACTATAAAAGAAACCAAACACATTTTCTATTTTCATTTTTTGCTAACGAAAATTTAGAACTGATTTTGTTTTTCATTTTTAAAAAAACCAAAAATTGTGTGTAGATTATTATTTATGGTGGGTACAGTGAGTGTGTTATTCATTTTATTGATACATGAATATGTGTGTTAAGGTTGTTGTGATAACATTACAGCAAGGGTGGCTCAAGAAAATTTGAGAACTAAAGCGAAAACACAAAATGAGGGCTTTTTATATTTTTAATATTATTTTTTAAAAAAATTAATTTATTTTTAAGTTATTGTGTGAGAGAGAGACAGAAGAAAGACCTGCTAATATTGATGAGAAAAATATTTAACTTCGTTATCCTCGAAAAAATATGTGCATCATTATAGTTTTCAATATTTTTCTTAAAGCCTTCACAAGATAAGGAGTATCATTGGATCAAAAGCTCATTGGTATTATAGTTTTCAATAAAGTGTTCAAAAACTTCATCAATATTTTATTACTCTTTTCAAATATGATAACATTATGCATAATATATATATAGTTATATATATTCCATCTATACTACTATTAAAGAATGAAACTTTTGCCTTGTCATGAATTTTTTTTAATTCACTATGAAAGAATTTTAAAAACCACATTATCCTTCTATAGTTGAATATCTAAATTACCATCATATATTTATGTGTTTAAATATTCATTATCCCTAACATCTCTTTTAATTCTCTATTTATTATTTATAAATTGCAGTATCTATGAAACTTTTAAATTAGCTACGTTACTTTTAAAAAATATATGCATTACTACAATTTTCAATAAAACATTCAAAAAATCTTCAAAATTTGCATCAATATAATATTACTCATTTCAAATATAAAGATAACATTATACTTACATATATGTTTTTTTTTTATCCAAAATTTCAATCATTTTATTTTTAAGATAAAAAATAATCTTTTACGTATTTTTTAAAATAATTTACGTTAAATCAACATAATTCTTCAATCAAATGTAACATTTTGACGTTTTATTACGAGTTTATATAAAAATAATTATAGTGTATTTTTAAGTTAAACTTAAATTTTAGTATTTTAATATTCTTTTAAAATATATATTATAGAGTAATATATTATAATTTAGGGTTAATAGCACTTTTAATCCCTGAAATATGTATGCTTTGACAATTTGGTCTTCATTGTATCAATTTTATCAATTTAATTTTTAAAGTATTTAGTTAATGTTTAAATGATCCATACATAGACCACCTGTTAAGTTTTTGACAGAAGTGATCAAGTACTAGTCGCGTGATACTGTCTGACGGAATGACACGTAGTCACTTCCGTTAAAAAACTTAATGGACCGTCAGGTTAGGGACCATTTAAATAAGAATTGAATATTTTAGAGACCAAAAATCATAGATTTTAATTAATAACTGTAGAATAAGATAAGTATAAATCACAATTATAAATATAGATCAAATAAAAAATTAGAATAATATGTACATTGATAGTAGTTATTATTCACCATTAAGAAAATTAGGTAGACAGAGGGTCATGACTGTTCCACTATGTATTAACTATGATTTATAACACCATTTATAATATAGTACTATACTTTCCCACCTTTTCCTATCCTCCACTAAATGATTGTTTGTTGTTAGGGAAATTAAGTGGACAACGATATCATTTGTGCCTCTTAATATTCTTTTGTTTAATCTTGTTTTTGAACAAGTTCTCTCTCTTTTTCTCTCTCAGAAAATGGGACTAAAATCCTCTGATCGCCATACAAACCAGTTGGAAAAACCTTTTAACTTCTCTTTCACCATTCAGTCTGAAAACCTTTTATCTTCTCTCTCTCTCTCCCCCTTTTTCTCTCAAACACCCCTCTGAAACTGGATAAACCATACATAAATAATATTAATATTTTATATACGAAAATTATTTATGTGCAACGCACGTGGTACATTGCCAGTAATTAATAAATGACTGTATAGATTATTGTCTGGTGATGACAAAAGTTATGTTTAGTTTTGTGGTTATGCTAAGTGGCCTTATTGACAAATATAGCTTTAAAGACAGATATATGACCTGCATAACAAATTTTGCCTTAATGGCAATCGTATAGCATGTGTGATGAATATTGCCTTAATGACAATCATATAGCCTATGTAGTGGATATTGCTTGTATGGCTGGCATAACTTGAGTAACGGAAATTATAACCTTATTGGTTGCTATATTGAATTGATGTATTATGAGATGATTGCTCAAGAAATATGGAAGCTTACATGTGATGGCTTCTAAAATTGTTCAGTTATTTTGACGAATTGAATTTATTTATATAGGAAATATATTTTCCGTTGTTATATGCTATATATTTGTGTACACTCACTAAGCGTGTGTGCTCATCCCTCCCCATAGTTTGTATTTTTAGGAAACTAAGAAGGACGGTATGTCTACTGCTGAGTCTAGGCGGTTAAGGGGAGAAATCGGACTTCCGAGTTTTGTTGTATTATTTTGCATAATTTTTGTGTCTTGTAAACATGTAAGTTTTAGGTTTTATTTCAAGTATGGAATTGAAAGCATAACTTTGTAAATATGAATTTGTTGGTCTGTTTATGAAACTAAAATTCAATTTTTGTCGCACCTAGCCGGTGTACGTTAATTATATTATTGAACATATGCACATGGTACAAGATATTATTCAGGGACTGGGGTCCACTCTACCATAACTAGAAATAATTTCTTATTTTCGAGTGTTGGTGTGACAATATGCACAATAACAACCAAACCTTGTGCACAAACACGTCCACCTCCACCAACCCATCTGACTCCACCAAAACACTGCCCAACCCTTTTATAGTTGCAATCCAACACCACATTCACCACCAAATATCACCACATGCCACCACCACCCCCAATGACACATACACCTCACACATCATCACTATCAACCATCACAATCTTCAAGCAAACAATCCATCCACTTAAATAATAGGCACCACAAGCTCTTATCTTTCATCAATTCTACTACCCAAGTTGCTAAGAGTTTCATTGGGGTCCATTCGACATTGATAATTGGAGATACACATATTTCTTTGGTTTAGAGGGCTCAAATTTTACTTCAATTTTAGAATGTCATTATATGCCACTGCGGTCCCCTTGATCATAATCAGAATACTATAAACATATTTTTGACAGATAATAGAGAGGTGTGAAGGTGATGAAGATTGACAAAGAATGATGAGAGGAGGAGTTTACTACGTCTTGAAGAGAGGGTGATGTGTGGAAGGTTTTGGGGTGAGAGGTGGGCGGCAGGGCCAACCTAAATGCAAAACGACTTAAGCAATTGTTCAGGGCCTCATTTTTTTTTTTGTGGAATGTTAGTTCATTACAAGCCTTATTCTTTTATTTAGTCTCATCCTTTAGAATACATATTATAAACACTAATATAGTTTTTTTTACAAATTAAGTCATTCATCCCATCTTTCAGCCATAATACGAACTCTAATTAGTTCATTTAGTATTTTCACCATGAATTACAGATTCACATATTTCAAGGGTATAGCATGGAGATATTTTTTCCAACTCATATCTACTTTCAACAACTTCTTCGGGCCAAAAAAAGTCAATCATTTCTTCTTGATTATCTCTCCCTACGTGTATCTCTCATTTTTTTTGTACACTTACTAAAAATTTGAACTTACATCCTTTTGAGATCAAGTTACAAATTTTCTCGGATACTTGGGAACAATTCTAACATTTCAAATTTGTGACTAAGCCCCCAAAAGTAGTATTGTTTAGTATCAATCTTATCTTTAATTGTTGTAATTTGATCTTGTAAAATTTGTAATTTAGCACATAACAATTTTAAATTTTCTGTTCATACCATCTTTAGTAACTGCTTGACAAAATTTCTTGTAATTTCCTAACCTCTAAACATCACCTTTTAGCATATATAGTTTATGGATGGAGGGGAGTGTCACTCTCTTATGGGTGATGTCAAAAGAAAGGGCAAGGAGATGGGGTAAAATTAAATGATGGTAATGTGATGTGTAAATGCACAAAAATGTGTGTGTGTGTACAAAAGTGCTCCCCAAGTGCAAGGAGACTTTTGCGGGTCGTGTTTTACTTGGTGGTATTCCAAGGTCGTCTCCACGGGAAAGGTAGTAAACCGAGGAGAAGATGATTTTGGGGAAAAAAAAGTGTAAAATCTTTGATTGTTGGAAGTTGTTTGGTAAAGTTTGTTTTGATGCTAATAAAATGAGACACAAATATTGGCAAATTTAAGAGGTCACTCCAATAGGAACATCATCTCAACTCGAAACCCTCCTCTAATAGAGCATGAATGAACGATTGATTCGTGGGAAGCTAGGGATAAAATTGGTGAGTATCTAAACATAAACCGTGACTAAGCCTATGGAATATCAAAGACTCACCAAGTTATCCACCCTCAACCCAGTCAAACCGAACCATTGGACTCTGAAAAAAGGGAGGAGAATGAGTTAAAATGGTATACCGAAAAGGGAGAATGAGTTGAAAAGGGAGGTTCCCCTTGGTTTTGTCAACTAAGAGATTTAACTACCATGCTTAAAATGAAATGTACAATGTAATGAGAATGCATTGCAAAGATATGAAGTTCTAGAGTAACTAGATACAAGAAAACATAATCTATAAGAGAGTATATTGAATACCCATTTAAA